TCTGGTGGCTTCGAAGGAATCTCTTGTCCTCGCGAGGGAGAATACGCGAGGAGTGAACAACGTCCACGTTCAAAACACTGGCCTGATCGGCATTTGATACTGCTGTGCCACTTGCAAGGAGGAGGGCCGCAAAAACCACAAGGGTCATGTTGAAGAGACGCATGACTGGCTGGGTCTTGAAGCTGGAGGAAAATTGCGGAATGAGAAACGCGGTAGTTGTAGGCTGACTCCAAAGTGACGGCCCTTCTCGAGTGTCTCATGAGAGTCGGATGCTGTACTTGTGGTCTCTGGTCTCTTGTACGCACCAGAATGACATGTCCGTGAGGAATTTGCATAATCCAGTACTAGTGTACTGAATTTTAGGGAGATGGCCATATAATATGCAGTGTTTCAGCACCATTATGCTGGTTATTACTGTCCTCAACGTGCCATGGTGCGTTCACGCAAACTCTTCTTATAGCGTTGCTGTAACGTAGAAGCTGCACAGTTTTACGCAACTGGGACTTCTTTACTACATCTCAAATATGCAAACCCGTCAAAGATCTTTAGAAAATACCAAAGGGGGAGACTCAGCCCAAAGAGCCGGCATAGTCATCAATGATGACAACGCTGACTCACCATTCCCAGTAAGTCGCGCAAGCAATGATTAACTGTACGTCGCGGCTTTGTCACAACAATCTCTACCAAACTAACAAATACGAAGGGGTCAGCCCAAAGAGCTGGCGTCGTCATCAATTATGACTATGATGACTAATCCTTCCCAGTAAGCCACACAATCAATGATGATAATTGTACGTCGCGGTTTCGCCACAACAAACTCTTAGATAATAACTAATAGGAAGAGGTCAGCCTGGAAGTGCTTCAATCACAGTTGACAATGGTGTAATTCAGTTAGAGGATGTGCAAGTAAATTACATTCCGAACATAAATTCCTGCTGATTCTTATCTTCTCATTCTCGAAAACACAAAATCGATCTCGAACCGGCAGAGTATGAATCGCGGCGTAGGCGGCAGTGCGTATGCAAGCTCTCTAGATACATACGTGTTGGGCTAATTCGATAGCACTATGCGGTCTCGATATCTACAGGTTTTGGACCTAGAGAATGCCGGTGATAATGCAGCTAAAGGAGAGGAACTAACGAAAGGAACACGCACAAGTCTAGAAGAAACCTCCAACGTTCACAGCGCGGCTCGAGTATCGATGTTGCCTTCCACACTCGATTTAGAATGAAACGCAGGGGCTACGATAACAGGTGTTTCTGGGCATTATCGGGTACGGGTAAACACAGTGGTGGATTTACGCACTGAAGATCCAAGCTCACAGGTACGACGCTGCAAACGAGAGTGTTGGGCCCCTTGCTGAGCTCACCTGATATACAATAGCTATTCCAGAGAATGAACGCTCGCAGAGCGTTACTAGACGAAAACCACTCGATGATCTCGAACGACAGTTGGATTAACAGGAATTCAGCTAGTTCGAGGTCTCCCATATAAATAATGCGCTTCGTTTGCGAACTGATAGCAACTGCTATTTACCGCTAAAGTTTGAGCATCCATGCGTGTTGTTATGGACTTAATGTATTGATAGCTAGCGTATACTTCAAGTTTATATGTGTGGGGAACACCAAGTACATCAATGCTCATGTGTTTTCACGTAAGAAGTATCACCGTCATAAATGGCTATAATATCAGGTTAAGCTATACAACGGCTCGCAGTGCCGATCCTTGTGTCATCAGAGTTCACAGGTATGTACACACGGGAGCTACGGCACGTGCCTCCTTTCTCCACTAATGGTAACTTCTTCATCCACATGTCAATTGTTAGGAATCTACTTCTTCTAGAACATCAATATTATTGCATGCAGGGGACTTAAATGGTCTTTCGATAGAAATCAAGAGGTGAGAGTTGTGACGCGGAATCTATAGCGGAGACATGAGTGTTGAGAACGAAGCACAGATGCATGTTTCCATGTGGTTCTCAAGTGCCAGCCACAATTACCACTAGATTTCGGCAAAAATCGAGATGGCAACTTGGAGAAAAGTATTCTGGAGTAAGACGTTAGTATATTTAATCTTCTAGAATAAATAGAGTTTTGTCTTGTGATCGTAATGTGAAAAAAAACGTGCTTGTACAGACGATCCTCTCGGTATTGATATCTCCATTAGTGATTCCATTCGGATAAGATGCTTGAGAGGTCCTACCGATGACGGTTTGCATACAAACTTAAGTCAAATCCACCTCTATCCTCTCATTAGTGAATAGTGATGCAAAACTGACACCTACTATTATTTAGAGGTGTTTAACTATTGACTTTGTCCATTTTGTTCAGGGCGACAGAAGAATGATAAAAGTGACACCTGCTGCTTCCTTCCGCGCTTTCGGGTTAACTCCTCTCTAAACGCTTATTGCATCGTACGAAGACCGGCTAGCGCTCGTGGTGGCATAGACATTGCATCAGCATTGATAACCAGTTTTGCCACCCATTGAAGGCGTTCCTGGAGTTCCTCGACACTCAAGGAGAACGCCTCACGGGCACCAAACAGTGCCGCCTTGGCACAGTGTAATCTCGGTAGCACTGTAAAAACTTGTCACCACAGCAAAGTGCTGTGGTGGCACAATAGACAGGTTAGTTTATGCACGATGCAGGAAGTGCGCAAACGAGGGGCGGCTAGGGCCAAATTGGCCAACCAGCACCCGTTGTGCCGAGAAGTGGCACACATCACTTCTGGGGCCTACAATCTCAGCCTCCAGAACACCACGCAAGCATGCCGAAGCGCGTATGCTGGAATGAGCGCGCTGTGGACGTCGACGCGTCCGAAGCCGACGCTGTGTTGGACAGCCTCAAGTCTTTTGACATCGACAAGAGTCAAACCATGGCGTGCACGCTGTGTCCAGACGCCGAGCACAAAATGCGGTGCCACCTGCTCGTCTGTGGCTCACAGGCTTGCTGTGAGGCAAGCGAGCTCAAGTGTGCGTGAAGAGGGAAGATCGTGACGTGCTTGGAGACCGAGCACGCCTCGATCTTCGAGTTCGGCTCGCACAACACCGCCGTGTCTTCTCCCAAGAAGAAGAAACTATCGTCTACGCAAAAGACCTTTATCCTCGAGTTGGCGGACAACCATCTCCGTCCTATGCGCATCCGACACGCTTTAGCGCGTAAATTTGAGACGCCACACGAAGACCTGCCTCTCTTAAAAACAGTCCAGAATTTCGTCAACCACTACGCCCGAACTTACATGGAGAACCACGACCGTGTTGCCGACCTCAGAGCCTGGGTACACCAGCGTGCGTACCACGACTCTGAGGCGATGACAGAAGCGTTCACATTTGGATGGCAACTGGACAACGCAGGCAAACCGGTCGTCGGCAATGGCTCCGACGAGAAACCCTTCGTAGTGGGTATCTCGACGAAGGCATTGATGCTGAGGCTCATGGTGCCAGCCCAGAGCTTCATTTTACACCTTGACGCGACTTACAAGATGAATCAGTGCGAATATCCCGTACTAGTGGTCGGGATATCCGACCGATCGCGTCGATTCCATTTGGTTGCGCTGTTTGTGATCTCGCAAGAGACACAGGCAGTTTTTCAGCAGGCCCTGATGGCCCTACGCCGTCTGTATTACTGGATTACTCAAAAGGATCTACTGGTACGCTATGCAATGGCTGACGGTGACAAAGCGCAGTGGAATGCGCTTGCTGCCGTCTTTGGCAACAATCCTGAGTACACATTTCTAATGTGTTTCTTCCACGTTATGAAGAAGGTGCAAGCGGCTATCAAGCCACTTTCCTCGCTTGAGGCAGTAGCCATTCTACGTGAGCTATACGATTTTCATTTCGCTAGGACCGAAGAGGCTTTTCTGGGACTGCAGAACACCGCTTTAAAACGCTGGCTGGAGAACGAGCGATTAGTTCCATTTGCTAATTACATGTGGGGCCAATGGTTAACTGGCCGGTTTCAGAGGTGGCAAGCTTTCGCGACGCCCAGTGGCTTCGCGACGACGAATAATCCCGCAGAGACCTTCAACGCCCTGCTAAAGCGGGATTATACGTTGCGTCGCCGCTTAAAAGTGGGGTCTTTACTACGGGAACTGGAGGCCTGCTGCCAAGACCAGTCCAGTTCAGTGCGTGCGTTTGAATTTGGCATCATCCCGGCTGCAACGCTCGCACGGCGAGTCGCCGAGCTGGTCCGCGCTCGCTATTTAGGTCTTGCCCAAGGGCAAAGCGTTGACTCGCTCGCCGCTAAATGCCCCAGCGTCGTTCGAGTCGTTTCTATTATGGCGCCTCGCGTACTCGTTGCCCCCAACAAGCGCAGTGAGGAAGGGATTGCGGTGACGGCACAAATGGGCGCCAACTACGCCCGCATTGAACTGGAGGGACAGCCCTCCGGAGGATGGCCAGTCAACGTCGACACCCAGTGGTGCCCATGTAACTACTGTTTCGTATTTGGCAGTTGTGTCCACGTGCTATTGGCTCTGCGTGCCACAGCGCACGTGGACAGTAGTGGCAGAGATATTTTAGTAAGCAGGAGCAAGCGTAAACGCAAGAGTGTCCCCGTCCTGGAAGGAGTTGGTCGCCCTCGTACCGTCGGACCAGCTCTCAGCCTTCTGTGACCCAGCACTGTGTATATTGCATGGTAGTCGTGTAGGAGCTTAGCTATATGTAGCCTAACGTTGGTCAATGTTAATGCAAATGAGGGTTTTTCTTTAAATTGACGTGGAGCATGATAAAGGAGTTGAAGTTCTTTCATTAATTAGTTATTACGTCGTTGTAGCAATTTTCCGCGGATGGATCTAATGGATATCATAGTATGAATAAAATAGCAGTTCATGACATCGCTCCATTCCCCTTTTTGCAAATTCTGGACAAGTATTACAGCAGGAAAAATTCTTGTTCGTAACGAAAATTAAGTTTTTTGAAAGAATGATAGAGATCATTCTTATTGGAATTACAATCTGAATTGAAAAAGTGATTAAAAAGTTATAAACCCGTCAAGCTCTTCTTACGCGTCATCTTCCTGCTCGCACTCTCCGTCGTCGTCGCTCCAGCAATCATCGCAGGCGCACCTGAACCACCGTTCGTTCCCGTAATGAACGGTGATCTGGGCTCCGGCTTTCACATCTTTTAGCATCTTGACGAGAACTTTAACGCGTGTACGCGTTTGTTGCTCCACGAAGGCTGCGTTCGGATCACAGGCGTGCGATGTGAAACGAGTAATAGAGCCACATTTCAGCGCATCCACGTAGACGTAGTTTTTCTTTGCTGACTTTGCGTTGTAGAGTAGCGTATAGCCACTATTTTGCTTCACCGCTTGATCTGGTTGTCCTTTAATGATGGCAGGTAATTCGGAGAGCTCGCCGCAGTACTCGCCAACCACGTCACCAATGTCAAGGTCCGTCGTAGTGTAGACGCCGAGCCCAACTCGGCCGGTGTCGAATAGTTTTAGTATGCTAAGTGTGCGTGGTGCGTTGCTGCACTTCGCACTAAGGTTGCAACCCTTCGGGGTGCAGAATGTGGCAGACGCCACATTCTTGCACACATCCCAAAAGCAGTCACCCACACACTGACAGGGATCAAACTTTCCAATGTCAGCAAATCTGACTCCATTGCGTTTGCACGTCGTTATGGCATTGATACCCGCAGGCCACGGGACTTCCTTCGCAAATTCGCGGGTGTCCTTCGCAGTAGGGTCAGGGTAGGTAGAGCGCCTAGCATGTAGATTCTCGAGCCGTCTTTTAACTTCAGGAGAGCTCAATAAAAGCTTAAATTTTACAGGCTTGACGGCCTTTGCATGGTAAATGGCGCTGCCACTTCTGGTAATGGCGCACTTGGCAAGATCACGCCGCTTACGAGATCGTGGCACATGCCACTGGCCGTTGCGTTTCTTAGGCTGGTGTCGAATCTTGGCACGCTCATAACGGGTGGGAATGGCGCGTATGTAGGCGGCATCCTGCTCGGGCTGGGCGTCTGACGCTGTGGCACCCGTCGTAGGAGAATCAGGCTGCGTAGTTTCCTCCTGAGATGAAACTAGATTTATAATCTCCTTAATAAACGTTGTTTGGTGGGTTTCCTCGCTTGTAATTGACTCTTCCGTTGCTGTGTTGTTCATCTCTTGGCTTGGCTGCGAAGTCAAGTCAAAAACCGGGGTGCTGGACGGTTCCGTGGGTTTCACCTCTGGATCCTGCGTGGATTCGTCGGACAAAGGACTCTCGGGGACAATATCCTCACGCACGGCACGAAGGGCTTCGTTCACGGCTTCTATCGAAGCATCGACGGCGGCCTCAAGCGCTTTTCGGAAGGCGCTGGACCTCGAAGGAGCGTCCACAGATCCATTCGTGAGTTGATAGGTCCGAATCTTCCGCCACTTCGTGGCCTCTGGTGCGAAGGGCTTGCCAAAGCGGTCCGCAACCCTCTTAGTCATGATATGGCGCGGAATTACGTCGCCCGTATCGAGCGTGGGTGGGTACTCGACGCCCTGCGTTGCGTCAACCCTCGTAACGAGAGCGACGCGGTGTCCTCTCGGGTCGCCACTGACAAATGCTAGGTTGTAGTACTCTAGTGTCTCCCCTGGCTGGAGCGTCTCCGGGGGCAGCTCGGCAGCGCTCAGACCAGGCATCGTCAGCTTGCGTGTGCTGGACGCTCTGGCAGGCGTCGCTGCAGTTGTCTGCGTGCTGGAGTGCCGGCGTGCAAATGATAGGCAAGTGGTGTGGCGCGATGTGGCGCACCGCTAGCGACTCCCACCACAACCCTAGCTGTAAATTTGAGTGGGGTGGTGTGGCGCACATCCACCCGAACCCTATACTACAATCAGTGCACATTCCAACCACCTCCAGAGCTGTGACGCCGCTGCGTCATGACAGCCTACCCCGCAGTGCACAGCCGTGCAGAGGCCAGAAAGGCTGCTGGTGCCTGCACTGTCCGTGCGTATTGTGGGAGATGGGTTATTGTTTTGACAGATTTCTACGTGTGCTTGTTATATTTCTCACACTCAAGTCCTCGGCGCTCACGACATGGTGGATCTTCTTCAACAGAATCACCAGCGGCAACTTCTGCATACCGGTGCCCGTTACAAGGGCTTCCCTCTATAACTGTGTTACAAAAGTTCGTCCGTGGGCTCGTCCACGATGACATTCTCATTGGGCGGGCTCCGGAGTTCCTCCAGCGACATCGGGTCCTTCGCGTGCAGGCGATCCGTCATCGCCGTCAGCTCATCTGTGATACTTACCTCCTCGTCTGGGAGATCGTAGTCAACCCATGATAGTCGAGAAGCCCCGTGTGGCTTCAACACTTGCTAAATATTGCTGCTGGCATCACATTCCAGCATTCAACGCTCCACGCCAGCGTCTGCCGCACACTGATGTTGTGCACCACGCGAACCGCAACGACGACCACCCGACTTCTAAACCCCGTCGTGTGTACCGTATAACAGGTACAGCTCCGGATAGTGATTCCTCTACATAATGATAAAAAGCAGGTTTCCAATAAAGAGAGGATCGTCTGTATATCAAATGTAAAGATAGCTATATCGGCATCAAGGTAGCTCATCGCGTTAGTGACCACTGCATCTGATGCAGTTCGCCCCGGAAAGAGTTATACATATCTGACTACAACAGGACGCTACTCTCCTCTCACATCAAATACCCTGTTAAACAGTAAGAATCAACGAACCAATCCTTCAATAGCTGAAGAAGTTGTTGGGTTGTGTCGAATACCTGTCGTCTTTTATGCTACAATCTTTTCGATATACATGTATCGCTTATGTCACTTGAATGACAATGAAACGATCATTTATGAATACACCTTGTTGCACTGGTTGCAGCAACACCAGCTAACCGAGTGTTGGCGCGTTCTGGATTTTATATTTTGGCTGTGATGAAGTTTCCACTTACTTGTTATGGATGAATATAATCACTTATCCGACCTCACTTAATTTTTGTATGGGGCATGGGGGATCATTATCGACCAATTAGCGATTTGTAATTAGTTCGACCCAATCGAAATTCTTCAATCACGTCAATCGCCTGCTTGATCGCGTAGCCTCTGCCGCTGGGGTGACTGAGCCGCTCACATCCCATTCCTTTCGGCGCGGTGGGGCGCAGCACTTCAACGGCTGCGACGGACTCACGGAACGCTGGATCTTTGACCGCGGCGCCTGGAACATGTCAACGACAAACAAGAGGTTTAATTACATCTTCAACACGAGCAGACAGGACCACATGATCGGCAAGGCGCTCAGTAGTTTTGGCACGGGCGCCGACGTGGACCTGCTGAACTTGGACGCGTTTGACGCCGAGACGCGGCTGAAGATTGCAGGTGTACAGCGGCTTCTGTTCGCAACCTGCTACAAGATGGACAGCTCCAAGTACAACATCAGTCCCAAAGTGGCGGATGTTCTTACAGCGTACCTCGTGCTGCACTACCTACTGCTGAAAACGCTTCGCTCCGGTGGGCTTGCGGTCAGGCGCTTGGAAACGGCTGTTGTCCACGCAGGGGCTGCGATCGTAGATCTTCTGGCATGGTCGTCATATCTCGCCACCTACAAGAAACCAGCGCCAACACCACGCAAAGAACCACCCACACCAATGCACAAGGAACCAAGCAACGAGTCCAAAATAATTGATCACCAACGCAGTGTGATTAACCGGTTAGTGTTGCACATCAAGCGCCAAGATGAGCGCATGGACGTCATAGAGGCTAAGCAAGAAGGGGGTACAACACAAGACACGAACAAGAAGCGTCAGCAAGAGCCAAGCCAAGAACAAGAGAAACCTAAGCGCAGACGGACATCAGTGACTCACCTTCACGCAACATGGTTTGCGTGGTACGCACGGGAGCCCTTCGGACTGGCTGATGCCCCCAAACGCCAGCGCTCGAACGCGAAACAGCTCGTGGCCTTCATGAAGCTGTTCGTCGCTGACGATCTAAAGCTGGACCCAAGCGCTGTCGATTACCGCGACCAGGTCCTCGCGCTCGGCAAGCAAGCTGAGGCTGCGGTGCTGGCATTCCTCGGCAGGTTTGAGATCAAGTTGCGCGGTTCCACGGCAGTTCGCAAGCACCTGCACGACCAATATCAGCGAGTCGCCCTCAACGACAAGATCACACGTCTCCAGCAGCTGCGCCGTGCTGCTGTCGTACAAGACCCGGATCGCCAGGATGTCCTTGAGCTTGTAGCTAATACGTAGACGCTCGCACAGGACAAAACGACGAAGATACACGTGCATGTTAGTAAACTATTAGTTATCAAAACCATGGCACCAACAACGCGCACAAGACACGCTAGATCCCTACGACCCACGCAGCAGCCCGGCATGCCGTACACGATCCATGCCTGCACCACCCTGCACGACGTGGCGCGCTTCCACCTCTGGGATGATTCATGCATGCAACACGCGGCGCTCTTCCACGTCTGGGATGACGGCGGCTGGAGTTGAACCAGCTACCTCAGGGCAAGCCCTGCGCTCTTCCGGTGAGCTACGTCGTCGGAGGGAGGGGGTGGAGGTGGAGGCGGCCATCCGTAAGGCCGATCTGCGACGTGTTCGGCCAGGAGTCGGGCTGGGAGGTCTGGGGGGTTCGGCCTGAAAAAAGACGACTGACAATTCCCCCTCTTCGTCGGCCGAGCCGAAGAGCTACTGTGGCCTTCTGTGGCTGCTGGCCAACAGCTAGCCACGTGTCTATCCACTTATGCGTGGACATCTTTAATTGGTAGATATTTCTACCAATAGGCATACACAGCAGCGACTGGTCATGAGCATGTAGCAAGCTTGTCTCACCTGAACCTCGGACACCCAAACTATGAGCGATAATATTCAGAACGATGCTCCAAGCCATCGACTGGCCCGGCGTGGACTCCTACATTGCTGCTTATGTCATGACGTACCTCGTGTGCAAACGTACAAAAGTGCACGACGGCAACTTGCTGTCGGCAAGTAGAACTACAGTCATTTTCTTCAAGGTTACTCATGCCAGTCAACCCACGGGACATTGTGCACATACACCTGATTGGTCCTTACGTCGAAGATGGGTACGGCAAAATCATGATCGAAGACGCGATACGTTGGCTCGAGGTCACTGTCCAACCCAAAAAGGACGTTCTAACTACAGCAGAGAGCTTCGACAGGCAGTGGTTCTGCCAATATCCCAGCCGAAGCAAAGTCACCTACGATTAAGGACCTGAGTTTACTGGTGACTAGTTCTTGCAGAACTACGGTATTAAGGCGAAAACCTATATCGTGAAGTGCCCGCAAGCCAATGCTATCTGCGAGAGGGCTCATCTCGAACTCCTTTACATCATCCGATGCTATAAGAATGTCAACTGAAAAAAAATCGCTACACTACGCAGCGTTCACCGCGCGTGCCAGTTAGCACTGTATCCTGAATGCATCGCCTGACCAGCAACGTTTTGGCTAGGACACGATTAATCGCAAACCGCGTCAAGCAAACTGGTGTATTGTGTGAGAGAGAAGGTTCAAAGTAATTCTCGCTGACAAAGATCGCAACAACAACAAGCGCATCGAGCAATGGTACAAGCCCAGAAACACTGTGATGCTTCGCGTCCCCAAGGCGTTTCAATCCAAGACAAAGGCTATTGCTCATGTCCCGTACACGATCAAGTCAATTCACAGTAACGGCACGGTCACCATTGACAAGTGTACGACGACGCAGCAAGTTAGCATCCGACGCATTTTCCCTTGTTAACCGCACAGATTCATGAGGACGTATGCAATGGGTGTCTGTATAATATAGATAAGTCTTGTGGCATTAAACAAGAATAAGAATGCGAGGAGATCCTGTGGTGGAATGGGATTCGCAAAATCGCGTTGCGATCCACTCAGACACACAGTGCCCTGGACTGCCGACTGACGGAGGGGGTACTCCGATAACCGTGGGGTTGCTGAGGGCTCACCTTGTGT